CCTTCTTCTTGTTCTTCTTTTTGGTCTACCCCCCTACAGCGTTCGCTGCCTCCTTTGGGGGATCTTTGCTTCCCTTAGATCCCTTTCCCTGGTTGGTCCCGGGAACCGGGCGGTCCCTAACGGCGCCCCCTCCCCCCTTTCGAGGGGCGGTGGGGTCCGCCGCAGGGCCGCTATCACGGGCCCCGCCGTCGACCAGGGTCCTGATCATCTCCTCCATGCGTTGGAGGCGCTGGTCGATCTCCTGTTGAGATCGACCGACGATCTCCTCCATCCTCCTCTCGATCTCCTCCCCCGTGATGTTCCCCGCCATACCTGTCAGGGGCTTCCCCGCGTTTTGCTGCGGGGCACGGGGGGGAGGCCGAGGGGGATCCTTCGCAGAGGTTTCCGGGTTGGCCCTTTTCCTTGAAACGGACCTCTCCTTCCTCGTTCTCGAGCGTGCCGCTCTTGATGTCGAGGCCCGGGACGTGCCAGCCGCACTCGGCGTGACGACGTCCCAGGTCCTCTTCTCAGGGGGAGGAGCGGCCGCTCTTTCCCCGGGGGGAGGAGTCTCCGTCGGTAGGCTGTCGTCGCCCACCTCCGGCATTTCCTCCTCCCTTACATTCTCTTCCGGCGGGGTGGCGTGCCGTCCCGCCAGTAGAGGGCCGGGGGGGGGCGGCGGCGGCATCCTTCTCCGGTCTCGCTCCTCCTTCTCCCTCAGGAGGCCGGCGACCTGAGCTTTGAGGGAAGCCAGCTCCTCCCTCATCTGCTCTTCTCTCTCACTCGCCTCCCCCCTCAGCCTTGTGGACAGGGCATCCACGGCGACCCTGGTATACAGGGCCCCGTCCCTTATGAGGCCAACGAAGGTGCCTTTCAAATTTTGGCTCCTCTTGGCCGCCTCATCGATCTTGCTGCTGTATTTTATCACCTTGGCAACAAGATCCCGGGTGGGGAGTTGGGGGATCTGTTCCTGCAACTCCCTCACCTTTTTCTTCCTTTCTACGCCCTCGAACTTCCTAGGGTCGTAGATACCCTGCAGGATATTCTCGATATCCCGCAGCTCCCTCTTCGCGGCCTCCTTCTTCCCGGCCATTTCGACGCCCTCGCCCGTTGTAATGGACCTGCCCCTCTTGTCCTTTCTTTTGGGGAGGAGATCTTCATCCTCCTCGCTGGAGGGATTCAGGGGTCGCCTCTGTTTGGCGTAACCCCTTCTACCGCTCTTGCTCCGCTTTATGGCCCCCGAGAGGGACACGCGGGATCTGACGCTAGCGTCAGAGTCCTCCCCCCCCCTCGGGGTCCGTGCAACGGGCGGTGACTTCGTCGGAGTCCTCTGTGAAGAAGGAGATGGCCTCGCTCTCCGCCACGCTCGACGCCGTCTCTCCCTCCTCACCGGCCGTGTCCCTCGGAGTGGGGGAGGGGGAGCCCTTAGTTTTTTTGACCTTGCTGGCCAGGCCCACTCGGCGTCCCCTCTCCTCCTCCTCGGCCAAGTACTCCTGCCCGTAGGGGTCGGATCTCATCCTTCGGGTGTCCCTCTTTCTTCTCCTCCGGACCTTGGAGGATTTTGGGCCGGGCTCGTACAGGCCCCCCAATTTGCCCGCGTCCAGGGTGACGTTCTCGACGCTCACCGCTGTGGGACCGGATGGCTTCAATGGCCCGGGCTGGTGTTCGCCCGTCCCACCATCCTGCAACCTCTGCACGACCACCACTGGTATTCGTGGTGTTGCGCTCGCCTCCTCCTCCTCTCCTCCCAACGCGTCAAAAAATGTGTTTGTAGACTCCATTTTTGTTTAATCCTCATTCCGCGCGAGGCTCCGCCGACCAGGGTATACTGACCCCACTGAGCCACGACCGACCGCGAGACATGACCACGGACGCCGGCCGCGGCCCGGGCCCCCGAGTTCACCCGGGGGAGTCGGCATATGCCACAGGAAGGGGGGAATACGCGCACCCCGCCACTGGGCTCTGGCCCCCCTACACACCCCCCGCGAGGGGGGTTTTCAGGGGGTTCCGCACCTCCGACAATGCGGACACCTCGCGCGTGCTTGCCAAAGCGGGGGGCCCCACGGACGGACGGAAGTGTCGGGGGAAGCCCTCCACCCCTTCACCCCGCCCGCCGTGGCGACCAGCGTGGGCACTTCTACCGCCGGGGGGTAGTCCGCGCTAGGAAACGTGGGCTATCGCGCGGGCCCCCCGGCACAGGGCGCGACAGGGGTCGTTATTCCCCTGAAGCACCCCTCGTCCGAGCAGACTGCCGGGTCCGGGACACTGCCCGGGACCACGACAGCCCCCCGCCAGCGACCCCCCGGACCCTACCTGGGAAAC